ATTTGCGTGCCACCTCATTAGCCTCCCGTCGAGCTTAGACGATTCTGAACGGAGAAAGAAAAAAAAAAAAACTGATTATCTAATTTAAATATTAGATTAAACTCGTTTATTACTTCTTAAACTAACATAAAGGAGCTAGTAAAGGCTCGTGGTTGTATTTCTTGGCATGGCTGGAATCTCTCATTGGATTTGATTCTCTTGTAATATTTCATGATTTCTGTAACATTTATAATATATATGTTTTAAATATTCATTCATTTTTTTTGGGAAACAAATATTCATTCGTTTTGGCACGACTCGTGAACCATCCTTTTCGATTCATGAAACCCTGCATTCCAAAAACTTATATCCATATAGTGAGATTTTTAATTCCCGCGATCTAGATTGCGCTCTTCAATCTGATTCTCAATGCATGTCACACCTGCAAGCCCCGTCGTGGTTGGGGTCAAATTAAGTACGGTTATCAACAATAGCTATAATTGGTTATCCATAATCATTACGGTGATCATGCCGGAGGGTAGGTATTTAGTACAAGATGCTATAAAAGTTTTCCATCTACCCTCTCATGCCTTGCGTTAGGAAGGTGTCAATCAACACCATCCACACAGCGGCCGCCACTTCACCACCCTCACCATCCCCCCACCCCAAAGATGCTATTAAAAGTTTCCCATCTACCCTCTCAACACCATCCACACAGCGGCCGCACGTCAACCGCCCTCACCACACACCCCCCCACCCCCCCCCCCCCCCCCCCCCCCCCCCCCCCCCCCCCCCCCCCCCCCCCCCCCCCCCCCCCCCCCCCCCCCCCCCCCCCCCCCCCCCCCCCCCCCCCCCCCCCCCCCCCCCCCCCCCCCCCCCCCCCCCCCCCCCCCCCAAAAAAAAAAAAAGCTATAAAAGTTTCCCATCTACCCTCTCATGCCTTGCGTTGGGAAGGTGTCAATCAACACCATCCCATCCACACAGCGGCCGCCACTTCACCACCCTCACCCCCCCCCCCCCCCCCCAAAAAAAAAACACCAATATAATTCATTCATCGTGGTTGGGTATCATCATATATACGGATACTATATCGGTAGGTCATTTACATGCTAAGTGAACAGTAAGTCTCTCAAGTTATATAATATATCAATACTAAAAGGAAAGGACCAGGGTTGCCTTTGACTAGGAGTTGAAATATTCCACATCAACCGTTTTTAAGAAAAGAAAAGTTTAGACACTTCGACTAACACCGAAGTCTTTTGTGATAAAACTCCACATAGGTGGTAATTAACAAGTTGGAGACAATATCGGTGTTGTTGGAAGTGGGTCTTTGGCCTGTCTCTATGATAATTTGACATGGTATCAAAGTCAGGGAGCAGGCCCGTACTGCCAGGTGATGGGTGAGTCTCCTTGGCCGCACGCGATGATGGATAGGGACCTTGGCCTCGCGTGTTGGGTGAGTAGTCTTGGCTCCACGTGGTTGCTGATGTGTTGGGTGAGTCTCTTGTATTCTTTTATTTTATATTTCAATATCTCCATATACCAAACGCTCACTAATGAGTACCGCATCTTCAGAATTGTAACCTTCCCATGGCATATAAGCTACTAATATGTTTTTTCCAAAGCGAGTTCGCCGCCAACCGTAGCAGCACCATCTGCTAAAATTTGTCCCTTTTTAATACATTTACCTCGCCGAACTTAATATTATTACCTATTATATAATAAATAATATATTTATTTAAATCTGTCTAGTCTACCTAGGCGGACCGCCGCCAGACCAACGCCCAGCGTCTTTTAAAACCTTGGGCAAAAGTAAGAGAGAGATGACATTTGCTAGAAATCGAAGTGAAAATGGTGCATTGTATCACACTGTTTATTTTTGTAATTTTATCATACAAAAAAGGATGCAGGTAAAGAGAAGGGAGGGAGATTGATATTATAACCTTCACTTTTGATTTTATGTGTGTTATATTGAGGATACAAACATACCTCTATATATAGAAGTTTATATCGGATAACACTTTACATGCATGAAGAAAAAATTTCACCTCTCTAAGACATTTTCACCTAAGACTTTCAATGATTGTCACCAAAGTCCTTTTTGGTTTGCATCCTCGTATAATCATATGTGTGACATTTACACTATTTCACAATAAAAAACTGAAAAAAAGGAAATATTATATACGCCCATCCCTTTCCCAGTGTTCTCCCCGAACCTCAGTCCCATCAGCGCCTCCGGCAAACCCAAGTCTCGCCGTCTCCACCGACTATCCCAGTAACCCTCAATCCCACAACGATTCACGCCAATGCTATCGAATCTATGGTCATTGTGCTGCAAGAATTACTGGCTGTTGAAGAATATGAGATTTTCTTATTTAAGCTCTAGCTTGCAAAATAACGGACAATTAAACGAAGATCTCAATTATAAAATACTAGCTGAATGGATGATGTGGATCCGGTGTAATGATCGGTCGTTGTATGTCACTAAAGGTCAAGAAAAAATTAGGACGGCAATAAGGCTAACAATGCTTTATGGCACGAAGTGTTAGGCGATCATAAAACAATACGTGCAAAAAAATCAATGTAACGATCATGAGAATGTTTCGTTGGATTTGTGGGCACATGAGAAAGACAAGATTAAAAACGAGGATATCTGAAGTAAAGTAAGAGTGACCACAATCGAAGATAAGATGAGAAAAATTTGTTAAAATGGTTTGAACATATGAACCAAAGACCTACAGATATTCCGGTTAGAAGATGGTGCTATGAGACAGAGGCTCGCGGCAAATGGGCAGAGGAAAGACTAAGAAGACTTGGAAAGAGACTATAAGAAAAGCTATAGAATACTTTGAGCTAACAAAAAACTTGGCGTAAAAGTGAGAATAATGACGTTCTAAGATTCATACAGTCGTTCAACTTAGTGAGATAAAACTTATTTGTTATTGTATTTTTATAATTTGTTTTACTAATTAGATTGTTTCTTTGATCAGACCATGAGTAACTATATTTGAAGGAATAAATGGGATTCATTATTGTGGGGGTGTCAGGTGTGTGTGAAACGCAGTTTTCGATTTGTGGTGCGGCGGCGTGGAGAGACGGGCTAGGGAAGAACTGATGGCTTTTCCACTTTTACTTTCTTATTTTAATTTTTTTATTTTTCAGTTTTGGAAAAAATATTATAAAAAAAATAACTTTGATGTCCATGTGGCACATTATCATTGGTTAATTAAGACAGTAATGGACATTACTGAGCAGCACATGCAACTTTTTAACAGAACCGGGATAAAATTTTAATTTGGAACAAAGATTACTAACCGACTACACCACAAGAATATGATTACTAACTTCTTTACCACGTAGACGAATAAAATTAACCTTAAACATAACTAGCTAGTTTGTTTACTCTCTAAATTAAAGGCCAATTAAATAGGAAAAAGACTTGTAATTTAGAGAGACAGTTTCTGCACATACATACCATAAGCACCCAAAATCCCAACCCCACGGAGAAACACCCTAGCTTCATAAGTAATTAACATGCATGCATTACATTACATGAAATACAAGGTTCACTAAAACATACTATAATTAAATCCACAGTAAAGAAACACCACCACTCCATTCAATGGAAACGCTGAGGGCCTCCTGTTCCCCGGCTCCTTCGGGGAGTTGAAGTTATTTCTTGATGAGATCATGAGAGTTTATCATGCAGAGTGAAAATTTCATTCTTGACATGCTTCTGGTATGTATAAAAAGTTCTTCCACAATGGTGTTTTATTATGTGCGAAATTTTTATTTAGCTATTGATGTCGTCTAAATTATTGTGCGTAAAATGTCTTTCTTAATTAGAGTCATACAAGTGCGTAATTTTTTTTTTTTTGACAATAGTAATGTAAAATTTCTTTTTGGACAAGCATTTGACATGCAAAGAAAGTTTTTTTTATCGTGACCACATGATCGACATGCACAAAAGTTTTTTCTAACCACAGTAATTGTGAAATTTCTTCTTTGACGAGCGTCCGACATGCACAAAAAGTTCTTTCTGACTACAATAATTGTGTAATTTCTTCTTTGACAAGCATCTGACATGCATAAAAATTTCTTTCTTGATATTGATGTTGTCTTAATTAGCATGTCAAATTTCTTTTTTGACAAGCGTCAGACATGCACGATAAGACCACAAAGGTGAAATTACCTTTTTGATAAGCGTCCGACATGCATAGAAAGTTATTTCTTATCTCAGTAAACGTTATGTTTAACTGGTCTGTCTTATCTCAGTAAACGTTACATCTAACTGATCTTTCTTATCTTAGTACACGTTACGTATAATTGATGTTTGACATGTGCAGAAAGTTATTTCTTTTTTGACAGATGTCCGACATGCATAGAAAGTTATTTCTTATACCCTAGTAAACGTTACGTCTAACAAGCCTTTCTTATCTTAGTAAACGTTACGTCAAACTGGCTTGCCTTATCTCATTATACGTTACGTCTTATTGGCATACGTCTAACTAACTTTTCTTATCTTAGTAAAAGTTAAGTCTAACTCACGTCCTTTCTTATCTCAGTAAACGTTATGTCTAATTGGCATACGTTTAACTGACCTTTCTTATCTCACTAACATTACGTCTAACTGGCATACGTTTAACTGACCTTTCTTATCTCACTAACATTACGTCTAACTTCCAATAAACGTTACGTCTAACTGCCGTCTGACGTGCAAACATTGGTTTTAACCAAAATAATGTGAAATTTCTTTTTGGGAAATCGCCCGACATGCAAAGAAAGTTCTTTCTTTTAAGTCAAACCTTACCATTAAATAAAAATCAAGTCATTATCCACTTTTACCCATTTCTTATCCTTAAATTAGAAGCAATGAACACAACAACATCATTTAATCTTCAAATTAAAGGCCAACTAAAATAGGGAAAAGACTTATAATTAAGAGTGAGACAGTTTCTGCACATACATACCAAAAGCACCCAAAATCCCAACCCCATAGAGAAAGACCCACCCCAGCTTTGCTAGCTTCATGTAATAATTAACATGCATGCATTACATATTATAAATAATACTAGCTTCATTACACACTCTAATTAAAGCCAGACTCCTATCTTTTATTCACTAATTATATCTTCTTATTCCTTGGTGAAAACAAAACCACACCATCCGCCCTAGTGATATATGAAAACGCTCAGCGCCTCCTGTTTGCTGGCTCCTTCTGTGAGTTGAAGTAGACGGTGGAAACCGGCAGTCCAAGGTCGAGCTGCGCCGCAAAGAAGCGGGTGTTGAAATGGGCACGAGAGGGTGGCTGCTCCACCAACCCCATCGGAGCCTTCTGCTGAAACAGCACCAGAATGTAGCGGTGAATTCCCACTGGTGGCCTCGGACCAACGTACGGCAGTATCTCTTTCCCTGCAATAATTATTTTGTTATTTTATTTATTGATTGTTAGCTCATATTATTAGTCTTATTACATGTTATTATTTTATATTTAAACCAAAATTTAGCTTTTTTTGTTAGGAAAAAAAATCAAAATTAATTTGAGAGCTTGATACTGAAAAAAAATTTGTGCCACGTGGGTGAGGTTACCACTTCAACAAGGTAACCTTGACAAGCAGTGTTCCCAGGAGCAAAGGTGTTCCCAGGATGGACTACGTGTCATCTTTGCTATCCATGCAAAGACAAAAACACTATTCAGGAAAAAATTTTAAAACTATTTTATTCTTAATTCGAGTACACAAAAAAAAAATAAAAGGAATTGTGCACAAATATAAAAAATACATTGACAAATTGAAAAGGCATGATACACGACACGTGGTTATGGTAAATTGTTATACCCAAATTGGGCTGTTTTGCGGCTAGTGAGAGTGACAGATGCTTATGAGGTGTAGGAGTGAAAACATGCACGGTTTTTCGAGAATATGGGGACTTCAAATGAGTTGATGTAATCATGTAACCCTGAAAATATTTTATGATGTTTTCATAAATAATCTGAAAACATTTGAAGCCAAAGACATGCATAATGATTCCGCTTGGAAACGAGAGTTTTGCCAGAGATTCTCTCTTTGACAGTACAAAGAATGGAATAAAGTTTCTGCTCGAAGATTTATGTGTGTATACATTTGTGTATCCGTAAGAACCCTTGTTACAGTGTTGCATGCATGCAAAAAGCTGCAACAAAGAAAAATAAAGACTTGAAAACGGTAAAATAAACAGGTAGGAAGAGATTCAACTCTTTTTTTTTTTTTTTTCTCTTCGTATTGTAATTTACCTCTGAGAGGGTTTGTTCCTCCAGGGATATCAGACACGATCCTGAAATCACAAACAGTGTGCATGAAGTTAATTTTTCTGAGTCCAATTAAGAAAGATTGACAAACAAAAAATCTGTCACATTAAGGTAAATAAACTAAAACGCAATTCATGCAAGAGGATGTAGTTGATCATCACCAATGGACCCACTCCCTCATGCTTGGCTCACTCGGACTCGGAGCATCAGGGTCAGTCATCACCTGCATGAACAATTTTATCAGGTATATATGTATATATATGCACACAAAAAAGTGAAAAATGTAATATTTGACTCATGCATGCAAAAGGATCGAGTTGATCTAGGTGTGCAGGAGGTGAAAAAGCACGAACCAGGGTGTAGAGTTCGCCAGGGTGACCAGAGACGGTGATTTTGGGTGGGTTGATGGCCATGGAAGGTTTGATGTCACAGCCATTGGCGACATGCTTGGAACCAAAGTAGACAGACATGCTCACGGTGGGGACGAACATGTCCACGACATCGCCAATCACTCGGCCGACGACAAGCGGATCGACAGAGGCAGCCATGAGATCAGGGAGGAAATTAAGAGCAAAAACAGCTAGGAAGAAAAGGAAAGACGCTAAGCGAAACATAAGCAAAGGAAAGAAATGCTTTGTGATGTGGGGAGAGGAGTAGGGTTTATATGGTAGTGTAAAAGTAAAATTTAAAAAAAAAAAAAAAAAAAAAAAGTGAAATGGGCCCTCTTCGGAGTATGTGTAATGTATGATGCATGCATAGGCTATCAAAAAGCAAAGAGAAAGCAGAGAGCAACGCGGGTACAGCCACCCTAGGGTTGAACCACCATCTTGACCGTTCAGATGGCTCGATCTTTACCGTCCGTTACAGACCCCACCACTTACCCATGTATTAGACCCTTCATGGTTCATGCAACCTCAAGATAAGCATGAATCCAGGTCAGGACAAACAGTCTTTGCGGAGCCTCGGTGCGTTTTGAGAGGGGGTGCAGACTTGTTAATGTGAGCCTTACTACATTACAGTACGGCCTTCGTTGTAACTCCAACTGGTTGTGGTTTTGTCCTCTGTACACTCTGGATTGTCTTTTTGTTCAAAGGTTGTTGAATTGGTAATAGAAATTTGCGTCAGCAATGACCAGAAAAGATTCTTAATTGAAAATGTTTTACTCTGCGTGTAAAAATTTCTGAAAATTAATGTTTCTATTTATTTATTTCATATACATCTTATGTTCATTCGGACTTGAGTATATGAAGCAAAGCACACTTCTATAGTTTATTATGCTAAATCTAAGTGAATAAAATTACTGTTTTAAACAATCTTCATCTCATGGATAAAGCTTAAAATATAAACTTTATTTTTTTTTTTCGAAATAAAATATGAGCTTTAAAACTCTCCCAAACCATCTCCAATCATTGGCTAAAATAAAGCCTGGGAAAAAAATATATCTCTGGGCTAGATTCCCCCCAGAATTTAAGTTTGGCTTAAATTATTTTGGACTCACCAAACTGTCATATTTCAAACATTTTTTTGTTTTTTTACTTATAATCTAAGGACTATGATCAAATGAGATCAAATCTAATAATAATAATAAAATGATTTGACAGTCCAAAATTAAATATGACGTCTAAAATAGTTTAAGAAAATTATGTAAATCAAATTTAACTTAAAACTTTATAAATACCTATGTATTTGTATGATTTTTAATTACTTATCGGAATTTAAATATTTTTAGACCAAAATGTTCATAAAAATAAATTAAGATAATCTACATAAATTTTATTTAAAAAGAAAAAGTTACTGAAAACAAAAAGTTAGGCTAAAATCATTCAAAGATTGGAGGAAAAAAAAAATAGTTTCTAGCTTATAGTTTAAAATTTTATGGCTTAAATGTTTAAGCTTTATCCTCAAGGATTGGAGATGGTCTTAGAAACTAGTGCATTTTTTTGTCACTTGAAAGGGAGGCTGACAAAAGAACAAGGCAATTGATGTGTTTTCTTTTGTGCGGTCATATTTTTAACTACGATAATTCAAATAAGAAATCAAAACTCAATTTGGTTTCAAAGGAATAGCCCTAGCTGGAGTGAAGACGACTCCATAGTCAAGGCTAGGGTGGATCTACACAGCGACCCAGGATGATCTCGGGACCCTCCTGAGGTCAGGAGAAAGCTAGTAAAGGTCCTTAGGACCTTTTTGTGCTCATTAAATGTTCGATGAAACATATGTTTGGTATATTTAGACAACACTCAGTAGGATGCATCAACATCCCTCAGTAAGATGGGTCTACATGCGCCACTTGGCATGGGATATCGATAGTACTTAGTAGATTCACTCAATAGAATTATGTAAGACCTATCTACAACACTCGACAAATGTTGGCATCTATTAGCATGAATGCAACATGGCACAACAGGTAACAACATGTAAACTAAATGCTCGACGAAATGCCAAATTTAGAATAGTGAAAACTTTTGTGCACTGCACGTTATTTCCATGTAAAAGAACATATAATTGTATAAGACCATTTGAAGTTAGAATCATGGATCCGTCATTGTTCTAGCTCTCAACGGGTGGGTGAGACCTTAAAGTTTGAAAAATAAATTTTAACCTTTTCTTTTCATTAATGGATGAATTTAAATTTGAATCCATGCTCAACCAATTGATATTCGTATTTAAAATTACTTCTGAAAATTAAAAGCGTTTCTGATAATATTAGCGTGAAATACGCTATCTCCGCCAAGAAATAAATCTGACATAATGGGTATGAACCGTAATTTTCTTTGGTCCAAATGGTTATGAACCGTATGATGGCTTGACTGAGCATTCAAAGCACATGACCCTAACCCAACCAAGCCCAACCCATCATATAAATGGATCGAACGAAGATAAATATAATGGATCACTTATCAACAGGTTCAGGTTAGTTTAGAATCAACATTCGACATGTTTTAGTTTGTTTGTTTTTTAAGTAATGTTAGGGAGATTAAATTTGTAAATAAAATTTGCATATTAAATGATTTGTCATTATATGAATAAGTAAGTTTATCAATGCTTAAGTAATAACTCAATCATCAACTTCCATGTCATTTAGTTTATAAAATTTTGTCTACTGATGTAGTCTCCTAGCATTGTTCTTGTTTTTATTTGTACAAGTGATATTTTACTCTAATTTACACTGAGCGAAAGAGTGAAGGTTCGAACTCAGGATGCAATGGATTAAAGAAAAAAGGTCTTAACCATCAAGGTAAACCACTACTTGCATTGTTTTTGAAATTATCAAAAACATTTTCAAACAACTAAACACTCTTTTTGCAATGTTTGACATAAAAACTTGAAAATGCTTCAGATCATAAAAGTGTTTTATGGATAATCACCTATTCAAAAGCACTTCCATATACTTCAAGCACTTAGATTTTCAATTTCATCATATTCAAAATAATCGAAAATTCTATGTAGGTTCCACACCACTCGCTCAATCCCATACCCGTATGCCTACACGAACCCTAGAAGACAAAGCCCCCCCGCGGTTGGGCGAAGTTGACATTTCAGAAATTTCCCGTGATCGAACACAACTGTCACAAAAATAATGCCACCAAACAGGTTACATGCAGTCTCCATAATTTCTCTTCAATACAAAACAGCAGTTCTTTCGGACACGTTAGCTTAGCCCCACATGGCTTACTAGTTTTTGGACAAAAATTCCTCCTTATCGTTGCCGAGCAAATCTTCGGTACGGCTATTGTGGTGCAACATCTCTCGCAAATTAGAGAATAACTTACCTACAACTCTTGGGGATCTATGCCCCAGTGTTCGGACGCCATGATGGCATTCCTGGAGTGCATGGTTGTCTCTCTCCACAAATAAACGTAGAACAATTACAAGAGTACATAAAAGAAATATAGCAAATGACGCTTTACTGCAATGACGAAAAAACAATGATGCCTATTAAGTTATTAACCCTATTGTGGGTTGGATCCCCACAAAACCCCTCCCCTTTAAAAACTAACAATGCATCACGGTTCATAATATTTGTGAATCTCGACTAGTTTTGGATGGAGCATAGGGCAAGCGACAACATAAAAAACAAAGAAAGTGACATTACAAGGTAGAACGAGACGGAAGCTGCGAGGATGCTAGACGAGGACTGATCAGAAATTTCAGAAGAATCGACAGCGAGAGGCATTCCGTCGCTGTTGAGCGTGCACGACCGAGGATCGGAGCCGTTGGTGCTTACCATGATAGCCCGAAACACGGATGTAACTGTATGGATGTAAGCCGTCCGATTCTTGGCAAGGAGCCAAGTGAGACCCATCAGCTGACAGTCTTTGTTGTGCATTTTGGTGGTCCTGTCCCCTAATTTGCTTGAATTGGAAGTTTTCTTCTTGTTAAGCTGATACGCAATCAAGCTTTCTAGTTAGATGAAAGTAAATGAAAGAAAGCGATAGTCATTGCTTGAAGAAACAAGGGTTTGGTGAAGCATCCAAATCAAATTCATGCTACCATACAAATACTGTTACACATTAACCTTGCTTTGAAGAGCCAGCAATATTCCAAACGAATAAAAGAACCTAACTAACTAATCTCAATCCAAAACAACAAAAAAATCAGAAATAAATAAAGGTTCGGAAACGCTCTCAAATGACAGTATCAGTATACTGTTAATATAGTCAATTTTCTACAATGATAGGACTTGTCCCTCGAAAATACTTGTCTTCGCTCTGTAAGGAGTTCCTCGTTGTTTGACATATGTAGAACTTTATCTTAGTTGTTTGTTTTCAAGAGCTACTTATGCATGTTTATCACACAATAATTTGAGTACAAATATATGTAAGTAGCCAAGTTGTGTCTCTAGGCGCGTCTACTATTTCTAGACAGTACTAATTTAAAGGAAATTTAAAGGAGAAAATTTTCAGTGTGCCGGAAACTAGGAACACAAAATGTTATGGTTTCAGTGATTTGATACGAAGCGGAAGAAACCCTATTCAATTCTTCTTCTTCATTTTTGTGGAAATAGGAACAAAAGATGCAACCTACAAGCTACAATAAATAAAACGGAGACAGAAACTTTACAATTACATAGAAAAAGAACTTACATTGTAGAGACTGTGCAAGCATTTGGAGCAGCCACCAAGACCATTGCCATTGGCGCCGCTGCTCAAGCAAACTCTCTCCAACTTCTTCACCTTCTCATCCCCAACAAGCTTCCCTCTTTCGTTCTCCGAAAACGCCTCGGGACAGCTCAAGGGGTGCAATCTTATCCCGCAATAGCAGTACACAACATCACAGGTCTCATTCGGCTTGATTAGCTCGATTCCCCTGTTTTTCAGCGCCTTTCCCAAGTCCTGAACGCAAGTTTCCGTGTCGTCCGGCAGCAGTGGCGGATCATAAGGCTGACCGGCCACTGCTGGGCCCACCCTGCCTACTCTACCGAGAGCGGTGTCAGAGTAGGCAAAGTAGAGCCACGAGGCCAGCGCAGGACAGCACCTACTGCGCTGCAAGTGACCTGAGGCATCGCCTTTGGTGGCGGAGCATGCGGACTTTATGCCATGGAAGAGCTCATTGGGGAGGTGCAGCGGGCACCCGACTAAGTCGGATTGTTCTGGGAATGCAGGGATTGTAGCGGGTGGGGAGGGAGTTCGGTTTGGGAGGAATGACTGGGTGGGAGCCGCGTCCGGGTTGGGTAGACCCGGGAAGGCAGGGAAGAGAATGCAGAGGAAGAAGAAGGTGGTGAAGAACATTTGGGTTTGTTTATATTTTTGGTTTTTGGGTCTTTTTTGATACTATCAATCAACAATGGAGCACTTGAGGAGGAGGGTGAAAGGAATTAAAGTGGATGGAGGTAGTGGTGGGCATGTTGGAGGAGATGAAGGAAAAGGAAAGGGTGTGGGGTTGGGAATGGTTTGGCTGTTTGCTAGTTTGCTATCTCTGGTTCTGTGTTTATAGATCTAAAGATCAAACATATCTGCTATATCTATCTATAAAATGTGGATAAAGTTGGTGGAGATTAGCAATGGTATCATGAACTAATCATTCATAGGGAAATTAAGTTGGAAACTTAGAAGAACTCAACTCTAACTATGGTCTCTATTATGCTCATCAGATAACACCTGGATAATCTACTTGTGTGTATACACTCGAGGATACTTCAATTCTCCATTGATACAAACAGACAATCTACTTGTAACCGTGTGTGGACACTTAGACTGCATATATGCATCGATATACATGAATAATATGTTTTTAAACGCGTCTACTCGAGGCTACTACCGACTCTGCGTTGATATACAAAGAGATAACTTGTATTGTAATCGTGTACATACACTTAAATATACCACAAATTATGAATTGTTACGTTTAGAGAATATGCCTTGTAACTGTGTATACACTCAAGAATACTGAAAATACTAAATTGATATACTTGGAAAAGTTGCTTTATAACCGTTTCTATACGCTCGGAGATATCACAGATTCTCTCGTATTGTGAAAATATGTAAAACGTTACAGAGAAATCAAGCAACCATTGGGGTTTGGGGTCCCCAAATCCAACAACAAATCACACATACTTAAATAACTCATAAGCTAAATAGCACGACGATAGCTCCATCGTAAACAACTAATTTAGCAAATTCATCATCGATTTTAAACGATTTTGTGTGTGTGTGTGTGTTTATGTGCAACTTTATATTTTATTCCTTTCTCCCCTTAACTAATTGATCAACTAGGTCCCCACTAACAATTTGTTATTGGCATTGACAACATATAGGACATTGGAAAGACGAGAGAAGGGAGAATCTCGAAGCCACCTAGGCAATTCTTTAATCTTTTGCCAAAAACACCTAGTCATTAAGTTTCCAAAAAAAAAAAAAAAAACCTAGTCATTATTTTAATGCAGTGGAATTTTGACTTCAGAGTGACCAAAGGCATCACATAAAGCACACACAGCCTTTGTTGCCTTTCAGAAAGTGAATAAAAGACTTCTTACACAGTCACACTTCAGCTTTCCAAGTAAAATTTCCTCACTATCTATAATTCTTGTCTTCAAATGGTGAAAATTTTCAGTAAGGTTCTCTTATCACTTCGTAATTCGCAAGTCACTTATTACAAAATCGTAGAATTATCATTATTTTTATTTTATGTTATTTTACATTGATCTTATATGATGTGAGAGTTGTCCTATTAACTTTCCATGTAGCATTTGCCACTGGTAAGTAGCTAATTGCACGCGTACCACTCGAAAGCTGGCTGTAGTTCCAAATAGAAAAAGCTGCGTGCCTCTCACTTTAGTTTGTGAAAGCAAATATGCTTCTCAAGCTCTCAGCCTTCCCTCTTTCTTATTTTATTTTTATGACAAATTTTACATCTTGTATGATAGGTTAATTGTTATTGTAAATAAATTACTATTACTCAAAGTACTTTTAAAATAATTGAAAGCGTATTTAGTGAATTTTTTTTGGGATCAATCCTTGGAAAAAATGCAAATGAAACCTAGAAAAACATTTGAAGTGTGTATTTCTTGTAGGAAGCATTTCAAGTGCTTTTTTGACTGCTTTCAATCATTTTAAAAACGCTTCCAAACAATCATTAAAAAAAAGTGTTTTGTAAGAGATAAAACGTGGAATTTACTATAGTAGTTTAGACAGATCGGTCCACCAAACTTATGTAACAATAATCTCATTCAATGTAACAATCATTTCGCTTTATCATCTAATAATTATTTCCAAGTTTTTTTTAACCATTTGGTAGTCTTCTTATTATTTTCTTAAAGAAAACTGATCCTGTTATGTTTGTAATAGTCCTTTCTCCTTGGCAATGACAGCCATCCGGCTACTTTGAGATCCTAGAGCCACAAGATACACAAAAACTTGCCAATCTAACTCCTCAAGCACGTACATGGACCATACCAGGTAAGTTCTCCAAAAGATGGGATTGAAAGGAGAGCCTAAAAAAATCAACAATTTTACTATTTTTTTTTTATATTCATTTTCGATTATAACGCGTGTACAGTGAAAGTATGTCAAACACACATAAAACTCTCTAGTGCGATCCTTAATACCAAAAGTACAAAGCCCACATAATAGATAAGGTATATGTGTTCACAAAAAAGAACTAAAGAGTTCAAAGCCTTCGTTATACAACAAATACTAAATCGAGTCGTCTATGCAAAAATCTCAGCATAAGGGAAGATCGTCAGGGGGAGGAAGCACACACTGAGATGGTTTTGGACCATTCTTGACAATAAACCCCGAGGCAAGACCCCACGAAGTATGCTCTTCAAGGTGACAGTGAATGAACCAAACTCCAGGATTGTCGGCCTTGAATCGAATCGCCGCCCATCCTCCAGTTGGAACTGCCGCCGTGTTTCTCTCCGGAGGGTCAATGAGGTTGTACTTTGCCGGATCCTTGGCAGCATTGAAGTTCCCAAACCCCATACCGACTATAAAAAAGTTGTGTCCATGCACATGAATTGGATGGTTCTCAGTGTTAAGAAAACCTGTACCTTGTAGCACAATTTCTAAGTTTGTTCCATGCTCCACTTCCATAATCTTAGTGCCAAAATTTGTGTTCATGTTCTCCGAAACTGGATCCACACCGGTGTAATCAAACGGCTTCAAAGGTTTCTCTGGGAAATCTGTGGAGTACTCGGCGCCTCTGAGCTTCTTGTAATGAGATTCTAAAATCGACAAGGCGGGACGAATGAAGGACTGGTTGTTCATAGAAGCAAAAAATTTCTTGCCAGCATAACCCTTGCAGGTTTCGTTGCCTGGACAATCTTGGAGATTTAGGCTTATAACCATAACCACGCGCTTGTCGACAGTTTTAGGAACGTTGCACGGATACTTAGGTGAGGCTAGGCTTCTGAGCTTGTTATTAAATATAGTGACAAACTTTGTGTCTTCCATTTTAGGGAGGTTGTATTTTTCCGGTGCAAAAGTACTAGGCGCCTTTGGCGGATATTTAGTTTTGTCACTCTTTGTGTTCTTATAACGCAAGAAACCGGCTGTGGTGGAATTGTCGAAAGGGAAAACGGAGGTGAGGTAAGGCCAGGCCGCCATCAAAAAGGCACCCGAGGAGTCAGGGACTTGATTTGCAGTGAGCAAAACGTTGGTGGTTTGGCCAGGACCTACCATGATCGCTGAGGTTGTGAATGGTTTGGTGTACACGGCATCAATCTCCACAACAGTTAGTGTGTGATTAGCCACAGCAAAGAAAAGCTCATCGTTGAGTGCTGCGTTGATAATTCTAAGCAAGTACGTTTTTCCACGTTCCACAGTTTTGGTGAAGGTATCTGCGTAAGTACAAGAAAATTCGTGTAAATTCATTGTAGAAAAGAGAAAAATATGGTTGAAAATTAGTCCGTTCGAGACTAATTATGCGGAAAGTACTGCTCCTCATAAAATCTACACGTTCAAATTTTAATTAAATATCAAAATGATTCATGGAAAAACACTTGAAAGTACTTCATGGGGAAGCATATAGCACATGTTTCTCCATAAACCACTTTTAGCCTTTACAGAAAAAATCCTAACCGTACCCTTAAGTTTTGGATATATACCTTTGTCCGAGCAAGGATAGAATGGTCCTGGCAATCCATTGATGGTATAAGCATCTGAACTATTAGGTCCAGCTCCATACTTCATTTCATTTTCCACTTCACCTACATCTGAATTCCACCATTCACCTGGGAAATAGCAAAACATGTGAGCAATTCAAGATAAAGAAATTTTGAACTCTCACTAAAAAAATCATGAAGAAAAAATGACTGGCCCTCTATATTGTTTTATTTTTTCATATAATTACCAAAGATGATGGGGAATTCTTCTTGAATCGGAGCGGAAAATGGAAAAGGCATGCGCGGATGGATGATGAAAGCGCCATAAATGGAAGCTCGTTGCCAGGCAAAATGAGCATGCCACCAGAGAGTGCCTCTTTGGTACTCCACAGTGAACTTGTATGTGTAGGTCTTGCCACCTCTTATAGGACATTGTGTGATATAAGCTGGACCGTCTGCCCATCCTGTTCTTAGTTGCCTCACACCATGCCTGCACTCATAATAATTAAGCAACAACTTAATTAGTAATTAGTTGTGATTGCTTAACGCAATCAAAGTCAGTATGATTAATCTAGCTAAGATTAGTTATACTCACCAATGGATGGTGGTATTTTCGGCAATGCCATTAGTGACCTTAATCTCGAGATGATCACCTTCATAGACAGCAATGGTTGGCCCTGGATACTCTCCATTCACTGTTAGAAGTGGCTTTGTGTTGCACAAACGAGTTACATTCTTCCACTCAACCTGAACAAAAGAACCAAAGAGAAAAATCAAGCTTTCAATTTCCTACATACTTTCTTTTGGTAATCACATAACGAAGATAGAACACTCCTTTTTTTCCTTTTGTACTCAGCCAAAAGACTAGAAAAAGGAGAGGAATGCAAGGGCGAAAGGGAAAGCGAAATTCACTACCCTAGAATAAGAGCAGACACTCTAGCTTACATTAAACTCGAAGAGTCGGGTTGTTTGCGAGAAACATGACGGTAAAGCCACCGCAAATATGATTAGAATTAGCACTAATCTATAACGCTGGCTCAAACTCTCCATATCTAAAACCTTAAGAGCGAGCTTAAGACTCACTCTATCTGTATATTGTATATATACTGCATGAACCGAGTTTACAAACTTCCATGCAAACTCCCCCTTTATATACATGCTAAAAATCAATTGGGTACTCGATTTTCCTCTCATTAAAATTGACAACTAAGTTATTTATGCTAATAAATTTAAGCAAAGACATATTTTAGTTACGCTAGATGAGTCGGTGAGGAGGGGTCGAGACACTGAACATGTCAAATTGAGTATTTGAAAAAGGTGGAAATGTGTTTGAAACCTTGGCTGCTAATAATGCAGTTCATGACTATTTGTCAAAACCCTTATACAAAGATAATTAAGTATTATTATTGGGATTTTTCGACACTAAATATTTGTCCAAGCCTTATAGATTAATTACGAACTAAGAGCCAACTAAACCTTTTTATTGACAATTACATATTTAATTATGTGGGTTTACTTGTCATTTTGTTATCCACCATATTGTCATTTCCTTCATCAGTTGATTCTTAATATGTAGAAATTTGTGGTCCCAAAAAGATGGGTGGGTTGGTGTTGAAGCTTTGATTGAAGTCTAGGAAGCTTGGACTAAAACCAGTAGTATCTTTTTTGCAATAGTTCAAAGGTGTGACTTGTTTAGTTTAGACAATTGCAATTTGCAAACATGTGGCAAAGATTAATGAAGCATGAAGATTATATGAACAATATGATTTCTTTTGTTTCTTAGTCCCTTCACCAACCAAAGGTGAGCTAGCTAGCCAACTTTAATTTTTTTTCTTCTCCAATAAAGGTGGTGAGGATGGAGATATGGAGGACCAACACCAACTCATTACATATGCAAATTGATATTGATAACCATTTGATGGCGATAGGCCATCAATGGAGGGTGCTAAAGGAATCATATCAAAAGAAAGGCAAAAAAAAAAAAAAAGGATACCAAGGATGCTATAAATAGATGTATGGGGGTTAATTGGTGAGTTTTGCAAATTTTTGTATATATATTAGTAATGCCACTATATTGAGGCTAGTTATGGAGAAAACATGGCATATGTAATAAGGGGTATTATTTTTCATTTAGCATTCCTCTCGTTCCGCGACATGATTTTTTTTTTATTATAAAATTTTGCATTTCACAATTATTTAATACAGTTGGAATATCTAATGACGAATCTATAGGGTTTTTTTGTTTGTGGCAAGATGTAGTTCAAATTCATATCACTTTTTCTCTTCTTGCCCAACATCCCAAATTCAAATAGGTTGCCCCCCTATCAACTATAATCATCCGCAAAAAAAATTGTGGAATATCATGTATAGCGAAGAGGGCGAGTAGAGAGGCAATAATCTTCACTCGTCCTTGTACGAATTCGCCACTAGGAGCATCACCTAATAAACAAAGTGGAGAGAAGTTGAGATAAACATAGTAGTAATAAGAGTGGTAGGTACGATATCCTTCACTAGTCCTGTAAATGCGCCACTAGAACCATAACTTACTAAAAGCCACTTAGCCAGGTACGTTGATTAAAAACACTAAAAGCAAGGTTGAAAGAACTTTAGATGAGCATTTTGTACTAATTAATTTTCTGTCCTTTTCTTTCCCATACATCTTTCAGAAGCTACAGGAACATATTTTAATTTAATTAGGCCAACAAAATGCCAATTTTTACACAGTTAAAAGAATCTAGCATGTTATAAGATGCTTCTAAACATAGTCGAGTAAACCCTAAACCTAAATCATTGTAGCATTTTCTGTACGTATTTCCATTGCTGATTTTCTGCATATACTGCCATGCATTACTGGGATTTGCATCAAGTTCTTTTCCTGGTCAAGATTGGCAGCTGCGTTTGGATACAATTTTTTCTGTAAGTTGATCGTTTAAGTCTCGATATGTTTCTTCCTTTACATATAGAAGCACCACGTAGTAATAATAGTAAAGCAAATTACGATTCGGCCAAAAAATGAGAGACATTTCGAGTTATTAAAAATCTACAAAGTAGTTGACAGACTTTGACTTTAAAGCAACTGAATTATCAATGTCATCGTCTACTAATTAATTATAGGGTTTAAGAAATATTGAAATACCTCTGTGAGTTTTTCTTACCATAAAAAAAGTAAATTATTATAGCAAAGCTAATAACTGGTTGTCTGTTTTTAAAGAAAAAAAAAACAAATACTAAATTATATTACTAACACGAGGAATACCTGTGCATCAAGCTTTTGTAGTCAGGATAAGCAGACTACACTTTTCAAATCAATTCTTTTCATTTGTAAATTGATGGCAGCCCTCAATCCTATAGCCAAAGGTTTTGCCTGGATGTGAGTCCTCATCAATTAGACATTCCACTCAAAATTTCAATTATGTGATGTATAGCAGTAGGTCCCAATTTCCCAAAAAGTTTTAATTAGGTCTAAGGTCATCTTCAATCAAAGGTTGGCTAGCTCGTTTTAACCTTCTGAACTTTCAAGAAATTAATATTTTAATGAACAGTGTAAGGTCATATTTCTTATCATCTCCAACCGAGGACCAAAGCTCATTTTAACCCTATCACAAAAAACCATCTCCAACCGAAGGTCAAAGGGCCAAATATAATTTATTATTTAAATTTAAAATAATTAAATATTTAAAATAAATTGTGAAAACACTTACTTCGTCGTAATAATTGGCGCCACTTTCATGTCTACTTGCGGCTGTTAACAGTTATATGTTAAATTAATTTTTTAAATTAAGTGTCCAATTACTAGTACAACTTAGTTTGCATAGTTACATGTATAAATGCACATTTACCATGTCTAATAGAAAGCTTATATTTCGGGCACTCATTATATTTGTCCCACAACAGGAGAGAATTGAGCAAGCAAAAGCTTGCATGTGTGGCACCAATTATATTTGTCCCATATCAGTTGTGGGAGAGGTTTGAGCAATCAAACATGCTTATAAAAGCAACATCCCCGCATATAACCAATCACCTTTCTGGCCCTTAATTAAATATTCTTTTTAAATTTTTGGCCCAAAAAAAGATAAATAAATAACGGCTTGCTGACATCAACTAGCCGTTGTGATTCAAATTTTTTAGCTTGGCTCGAGGCCGGCTAGCTGGCTCATTTGGGCCGGCCGATTGGCCATTTGGCCTTTTTTGTCCAATGGGGCCCATGAGCCCTTTGGCCTAGCCTTCGGTTAGAGACGGTTTTAGGGCTATTTTCGGCTCTCTGGCCCTCTAGACCCTTCGGTTGGAGATGGCCTAACTTGGCAGGTTTATGTTAATCAAATGACAACTTTTACCTAAAATAGTTTGATAGTTTTCTCAATGGGAGAAAATCTTTGATCAAGCAACATGATCACATCTGTTGTTAAGCTAATCTCACAAAAAAGCACAAATAGTTTACCAATTCATGTTGCTATCATGCTTGTGAGAGAGCTGTAGTGTTCCGCCACTACTACAATATAGGCTATCACCGGCGGACCAAAAACCGACAAGAAACCCCGATTTCTGTCGGAAATTTGGCAAAAATCCGACATAAAACACTGCAATGTCGGATTGGAATAGCGACGCCATTGCTACCGTCACTAAAGGGCTTCAGCGTCGCTTTGTTCGCTTAATCCGCCACTACGCAGCGTCGGTTTAAAGCGACGCTGATGTTAACGTCGGTTTAAAGCGACGCTAGTCAACAATTAACTAAATAAAATATGCAAACTAGTGACGGTTTAAAGCGACGTTAGAGAACAATTAAATAAATAAAATATGCAAACTAGTGACGATTTAAAGCGACACCACCTTTGATAATAATAATTAAAAAAAAAGTCGAAATCTGTTTCTGTATTCGTTCTCAAATAATTATAACTCAAAAAAATTATATAATCGAAATAATAAATTTCAATTTTAGGCCAAAACAAACAATAATAAAAATAATTCAAAAGAAAAATAGTGCCATAATATACAAATGTTTTACATCTAACATTCCATATAATTTACAAAAATTCATCCTCCATGCTTTCCTGTGCTTGCCTTTGTTGAAGACCACATATTTTGTAGCTCCATAGTGCCATATATAATACTAGCAACTCCATGCTGCCATGCTTGCCATCAGATCAGTGCTCCAATACTTTACTACTTCAACATTAAGGCTCTAATCTCTATAGATTAAACTCAGGTTTTATACCTTTAAAAAATTATGGATCTGCGATTTCCAGTGTCCTTGCTCTTCAGATCCAACATGCATAAATACAAAAAAAACAATTAAAAACCAAGAAACAAAAATAAATTTTCAATTTAAGCATAAAACTATTTAGAATACAAAATAGAAACTAAAATTAATAATCATAATAATTTAAAAATGAACCACCTTCAAGCTCTTCCTCCTCGAATTGGAGTTCTTCAGAATGTTGATCTTCAAACTGGTGATCCAAAGCAAACGGGGAAGGAGTTGAGGAAAAAATGAAAAGGAGGAAGAAGGGGACGCACAGATGAAATGGGGAAGGAGAAGAAGAAAGTCTGAAATTGGGGGAGAAATGAAAGCACGGTTGAAATGGGAAAGAGAGGGGTTTAAATATGGGTACTTAGTTTGCGTCCGTTAAAACCGACGCAAACGTCTGACACTTTTTTTGAAATTCACATAGCGTCGCTTTAATGAAACTCGCGTCGCTTTAATGAAACTAGCGTCGCTTTAAACCGACACAAACTTCTGACACTTTTTGAAATTCACATAGCGTCGCTTTAATGAAACTTGCGTCGCTTTAATGAAACTAGCGTCGCTTTTAACCGCTTTAATGAAACTAGCGTCGCTTTTAACCGACGCCAACTTCTGACACATTTTTTGAAATTCACATAGCGTCGCTTTAATGACACTAGCGTCGGTTAAAACCGACACTAAGTCTCTCCATCCATTCAAACAAGCGGGAAATTTCCCGCCTAATATTTCAAATACTATAATTTTATATATATTAATTTTATAACCCTAAAAAATACTATAATAATTATATATATTAATGTAACAATTTTATACCCCTAAAAACTATAATAATTATATATATATATTAAATTAAATTTTAAAAATTGGTGACCGTTGGATCAGTTTCAATATACATACCATTCAATTTCTTTAAGTGTTATACATACAAAATAAATAAATTTAAATCTACTTAATAAATATATATATATATATACACACACCATTGAACTTGATGGGATACAAATTCTATGGAACTTTTCGATGGTTATAAAACGAAAAACTAATTTAAATCAATATGTCGCTTAAAAGCGACACTGGGTTTCAAAATATTTAAAAAAACTAATTTAAATTGAAGATCGAATTCATTCATTCTATTCATATAGGGTCAAGGAATGTAGCTGTAAAAAATCATCAAAATCGGAGTTAAAATAACCGTTAAATCGTGATTTTTCGTTTATAACCGTCGAAAAGCTTTGTCCCGTTACTTGATCTCTGAATGTTTGTTTTTTGTGATTTTTTGATGTGATCTTGAAGCATATGCAAACAAGTTTGACGGTTGGGATCGTTGAAATTAGTTTCGGAGAATTCGTATCCCATCAAAACAATAGATTGACTAATACTTAGAGTTTATTTATACTTTCATTAAGTATAACATAAGATTTTGTGGTATCTACTTGTGTAAATATTTTAATTTGAAGATCGAATTCATTCATTGTATTCATATAGGGTCAAGGAGTGTAGCTGTAAAAAATCATCAAAATCGGAGTTAAAATAACCGTTAAATCGTGATTTTTCGTTTATAACCGTCGAAAAGCTTTGTCCCGTTACTTGATCTCTGAATGTTTGTTTTTTGTGATTTTTTGCTGACGTGATCTCGAAGCATATGCAAACAAGTTTGACGGTTGGGATCGTTGAAATTAGTTTCGGAGAATTCGTATCCCATCAAAACAATAGATTGACTAACACTTAGAGTTTATTTATACTTTCATTAAGTATAACATAAGATTTTGTGGTATCCACTTATGTAAATATTTTAAATTGAAGATCGAATTCATTCATTCTATTTATATAGGGTCAAGGAATGTAGCTGTAAAAAATCATCAAAATCGAAGTTAAAATAACCGTTAAATCGTGATTTTTCGTTTATAACCGTCGAAAAGCTTTGTCCCGTTACTTGATCTCTGAATGTTTTTTTTTTGTGATTTTTTGCTGATGTGATCTTGAAGCATATGCAAACAAGTTTGACGGTTGGGATCGTTGAAATTAGTTTCGGAGAATTCGTATCCCATCAAAACAATAGATTGACTAATACTTAGAGTTTATTTATACTTTCATTAAGTATAACATAAGATTTTGTGGTATCTACTTGTGTAAATATTTTAATTTGAAGATCGAATTCATTCATTGTATTCATATAGGGTCAAGGAGTGTAGCTGTAAAAAATCATCAAAATCGGAGTTAAAATAACCGTTAAATCGTGATTTTTCGTTTATAACCGTCGAAAAGCTTTGTCCCGTTACTTGATCTCTGAATGTTTGTTTTTTGTGATTTTTTGCTGACGTGATCTCGAAGCATATGCAAACAAGTTTGACGGTTGGGATCGTTGAAATTAGTTTCGGAGAGTTCGTATCCCATCAAAACAATAGATTGACTAACACTTAGAGTTTATTTATACTTTCATTAAGTATAACATAAGATTTTGTGGTATCCACTTATGTAAATATTTTAAATTGAAGATCGAATTCATTCATTCTATTTATATAGGGTCAAGGAATGTAGCTGTAAAAAATCATCAAAATCGAAGTTAAAATAACCGTTAAATCGTGATTTTTCGTTTATAACCGTCGAAAAGCTTTGTCCCGTTACTTGATCTCTGAATGTTTGTTTTTTGTGATTTTTTGCTGATGTGATCTTGAAGCATATGCAAACAAGTTTGACGGTTGGGATCGTTGAAATTAGTTTCGGAGAATTCGTATCCCATCAAAACAATAGATTGACTAATACTTAGAGTTTATTTATACTTTCATTAAGTATAACATAAGATTTGTGGTATCTACTTGTGTAAATATTTTAATTTGAAGATCGAATTCATTCATTGTATTCATATAGGGTCAAGGAGTTTAGCTGTAAAAAATCATCAAAATCGGAGTTAAAATAACCGTTAAATCGTGATTTTTCGTTTATAACCGTCGAAAAGCTTTGTCCCGTTACTTGATCTCTGAATGTTTGTTTTTTGTGATTTTTTGCTGACGTGATCTCGAAGCATATGCAAACAAGTTTGACGGTTGGGATCGTTGAAATTAGTTTCGGAGAATTCATATCCCATCAAAACAATAGATTGACTAACACTTAGAGTTTATTTATACTTTCATTAAGTATAACATAAGATTTTGTGGTATCCACTTGTGTAAATATTTTAATTTGAAGATCGAATCCATTCATTGTATTCATATAGGGTCAGGAGTGTAGCTGTAAAAAATCATCAAAATCGGAGTTAAAATAACCGTTAAATCGTGATTTTTCGTTTATAACTGTCGAAATTAGTTTCATAGAATTCGTATCCAATCAAGTTCAATGGTGTGTGTGTGTATATATATATATATTAAGTAGATTTAAATTTATTTATTTTGTATGTATAACACTTAAGAAATTAAATCGTATGTATATTTAAGCCAATCCAATGATCACCAATTTTTTAAAATTTAATTTAATATATATATATATATATATAATTATTATAGTTTTTAGGGATATAAAATTTAATTTAATATATATAATTTAATATATATATATATATATACACACTTTATGTCGCTTAAAAGCGACACTAGTATTTAAAAATTATTAAAATAATGTTTACGTCGGTTTAAAAGCGACACTAGTATTTAAAAATTATTAAAATATATGTTTACGTCGGTTTAAAAGCGACATAAACATTTAATAACGCTTATAAGCGACAGTAAATCCGACGTCATGTTCAGTTAGTGTCGCAACTGCCTAATCCGCTACTATATTAGATTAAAGCGACACCACCCTCTGACACTATAGCCCCCTTTTGTAGTAGTGCGCTAGGTTAACAATCTTGATCTCTCCTTCAATTAAATTAATCCAATTTTTGTCAAGGCCAAAGTTCATGATTTTGTAGCACACATGCAAACAACATAGAACTTAGAAGCCATGTAAAGGACAAGTACAACATTAGGGTAGGTTGGGTTTCCCATATCTGATTTGTGATACACTTAACTCGACTATAGGTGCAAGCCGGATTCATGGCAATACCAAATTAGATGAAAAGGCTGCTCGTGTAATTGTTCATGCGGGGATTGCTGGTGAGAGTCGATGACTTCATTGCGATGAATTAAAGAAAGTTGAGGATTCCTATTGCAGTTACTCTCCGTTCTTTGAAATGGTCCGTCAGATCATCCCTGCTTCCGCCATTGGTGGTGTATTTACAGTGTGTGTGTGCAAGAAAACATTTATTTGTCTACACCACGGCGAAGTATATTTGGTGATTACTAATCAGAAATCGGAGTGGTAAGAGAAAGTTCGATGGAGGAGAAATACATCCCAGTGATGAACATATGAAATGATTAAGAAAATTACAGCAGTGGTCCTTCAACTTTAATCTGATTGGCGTAATGGTCTCTTAAGTCATCAAAACATGCAACTATGATTTTTTTGGTCAACTCCGCCAAAACTTCCATCAAAATGAGTCAGAATCACTGTTACAATCGGGTTAAAGAGGGATCATTACTAAAATTGTGATAAAGTTGAGAAACCATTGCTATAATTGAGATAAAGTAGAACCATTGCTACAATTTTCTCATTTGGTTTTTCATATTTACCCTTTAATTCAGCCTCGTGTGTGCTCATTTTGACGGAAATTTTGACAAAGTCGACAAAAATTATCATAGCTACACGTTTTGATAAGTCAAGGAATCAATGATCACAGATTTTTAGTTGAGAACCTATTATTTCGAGGATATTACGAGAAGACCAAATTTTCAAATCAAATTTTGTAAACCAAATGAGTGGTAGTTGATGATTAGATTATTAATTAAATATTGATTAACGTGCTTATTTTATATTGATGATAAATTATTTGGTTTGCAATTTTGGTTTAAAATTTTGGCCTTCCTAACGTTATCCTTATTCCAATTAAGTTAAAATTAAAAGACCATTGCTAAAATTTCCTCAAAATGATTAGATGGAAGCGGCTAGATAATTTTGCCATGTTACAAGTGAAGGAGAGGTTAGGGAAAAAACAGTCTATTTCTGTGCATTGGTTAAGAGAAATAAACCTTGCACCTAAGGTCCGGAGTTCGATTCCCTCTCCTCCAGTATATTTGTATCAAAAAAGATGCCCAGCTAGACAATATTGGTAGCTGACGTAATCATGGCACTCTCCCTGTAAATGCAAGCTGAGGTGGTAGAGCAGAGGTACACACCTATGAACCTGAGTTCGAATCCTTCTCCCCATGTCTAGATTAGTTCCGAAGAGTAGAATATTTCTTGTATAAAATACAAAAAATACTAATATTAATTTGTTCACAAGATAATAATATAAGTTGTATTTCCATCAATTTGTTTCTACCATACATATCACACAATCTCTAAACAATGGGAAAACAAAATACATTAATTTGTTGTCTTGTTCAAATATAAATAGTTACAACTTACAACAGAGCAATTTCCTTCCTATGCATTGTGGTTACACTTACACAATGAAGGAAAAATAAATCGAGTCCTCCTCCTCCTATACGGTGTTAGCTTCTAACTCAAGTAACTTGTATATATTTTTGATTTCGAATGTCGACTGTTACAGAACACCCTTTCTACTAAATACGGGGAAAGGAGGCGGACCACAAAGTTACACCTGTTTTTTCTACCACAGATCGATGAAGATGAATCAAGCGCGAAGAGCTTCAACCTTTTGTGTCAAACTATCAACTGACTCATCATTGATCTCCCCAATTGCTTCCTCCTGTGGGAAAAATAATGATTATTTCCAAAGGAAAGGGGTGATGTGCATCCATATAAGCATTTTATATGACGGATCCATCATTTTGCATCCGCTCTGAGCATCATATGTCAGTAGCCCGGAATGGATTGACTAAAACAAGAACTATAAAGACAGAAGCAACACAATACCATTACTAACGTTTTTATCACAATCCCAAACTTAATTTTATATTGTATCTGTTAATATATAAAGTGTGATTGCTCACTCAAGTTTGAGACACTTTGATTTTCAGACAACCAGCGACCTTTTTAAGTGTAACGGAGATCTATCACAAGATACTATGAAAGATGCCTGAGTCATGATCAAACTAGAGGAAGTGAGGTACATATGAAACGATGTTACTTACCTCCGAATCTTTTATTGGCTTTACACCTATGCACTTGGAAGCACTAATGCTGGCACTCTTCAATAGGCTACGACTAGTTACTGGTGTGTAGTTTGTCTTGCTAGGTCCATTTTGTCCATCCTCATTTAGAGTGCCATCATTCTGATCTGACCCTGGAGGACTCTCAAGAGTTGAGGCAACAGAAGCAGCAGTCCTTTCCAAGTCATTGTCTTGGCCAGCATTCTCATTCTTGGGTCCACAAACCCGCTCTCTGAGGAACAATATGACACATAAATTAAGATGAACTAACAAGGTAGAAGCTAGAAGCGATTTGATTTGTGCCTCAAGAGTCAAGACATCTAAATCAAACTTAGTCCTTAAATGCTTATCCAAAACATACCTGGGCAAGGAAGCATGTTGCCTTTGGAGTGGAGGAGTACTCCTTTCACCTTTACCATGATGCTCCTCGAGATGTGCAAACTGCCGCTTGAATCGATCAACACCACTAGAATTACAAAAACCGATGTTACAAGGTTAATAACTCCAAGCACCAAAAGTTTAGAATGGAGGCTTGCAAAGCGAAGTGGTGAATGGAAAACTACTATTATTATAAGCTAGTTCAACTCAAGGTTTTTGTTTTTGTTTTTGTTTAGGCCCAATGGCTGGAACACATAAACAGGAAGTGGCCCTCCCGTTTCCCATAAACCCCTCCCATGCATTGAGGTTCAACTGATTGAATAATCAAAAGAATGATTCATTATTCAGAAAATCAATAGGTTCCTCACCTAGGATACATAAAGCTAGTCTGATCTCCACCTCGGAGATACTCCTGCAGCATCTGTGGATGATACTCTAAAATCTGTTTCAACACAAGATTTGTTATAGCAAAAGTGAAGCGGAGGAAAACAGAAGGCTAGAAAGCAACAAGTATAAAACTTTAAGGCCATACCTCCCTATAGATTAACTCTCTAACATCATCTTTTGTCAATTTCCTTCTTTCAAACTCAAACTCAAGTTTTGAAATGGGTTGGGTGGACGGCTCACGGTCAACATTTGCCAAACCATGAAAGTAAGGATCAGCTAATGCCTGCAAGCGTAAGAATTAGGGATTTACGAGGTACTGTGATCCCAAGCAGTTTTGAAGGATGCATCATGGTATACAATATATGACATAAATGTTAAATGTTGCATGTACTCAAAGTATTTAACCTTACCTCTTCAGCTGTCAGACGATCTTTCGGGTCGAAGGCAAGGAGCCGCTCCAGTAGGCGAAGAGCCAATGGATCAGCACCAGGGAACTTATGTGTGAAAGGAACTGGTTGTTTTTTCCGCATGCTACTCAGGTACCTTCTTGCTTTTTCATTCCGAATCTACCAGTGTCATGAAAAAGAAATTATTTGATGTGATAAATAAGAATTTGGCAGTTACGTATAGATGGCTTGCTACGACAATTGTAAGAGCAGACTGAGAAGTTCAGTGGCAGCCTGCTAAAAGCTTTTTCTTAATTTGGCTAGCACGAAACATAATTAGTGTGCCTGTTGATGACCAAGTAGATTTATTAGAATAAAATAACTAACCCTTGCAATGGATTCTGCAGAAGGCGTGCCAAGCAAATCAGTCATGAGATCCAATTGGTGCACCACATTTTTACCAGGAAACAGCGGCTTGCCAGTGACTATTTCCGCAAATATGCATCCTATGCTCCAAATATCAATTGCAGGAGTGTACTGCAAAAATTATGGTCATAGAAATTAAATCTACAGTCAAAAATAAAGAATCCTCTTATCCTCCAATAGATACGTATATACAACATAAGATCTTAGAAATGAAGTGTAGCTTACTTTTGAGAAAAATGAACCACAAAGCTCAGGAGCACGGTACCATCGAGTTGCAACATAATCCTTCATAAAAGTAAGAAGCTTAGTCCACAAGAAGTATTGTTTATAGGCCTAGTATTTGCAACTTATAAATTAAAGAAAACAGCAACTTCTAATTAGCAACCACAAAAATACAGATTTTAGGAGTAGTGTGGTGACATGCAATGATTTGCATAACTGAACAACTTACTGTCCAAAAAATAGCAGACGGGGCATCATTGAAAGATACACGAGCAAGGCCAAAGTCGCATATCTTTAATTTGCAGTCAGCATTAGCAAGAATGTTTTTTGGCTTTAAATCTCGATGAAATACATTTGCTACAAGAAACAGAGGAAAATTAATTAATAGTTATCATTACTACAGCAAAAGCCAAAAGAAATGAACGCAAAGTACCAACCTGTATGAATATACTTTAGGCCACGGAGAAGCTGGTACAAGAAAAACTGATAATGTTCAGGAGTAAGATCATCATTTGCCTTAATAACTTGGTGAAGGTCAGATTCCATCAACTCAAAAACAACATAAATATCTCTGAACTCTCGTCGTGAAGGAGGAAGCATGATGTGCTTTATTTCAACAATATCAGGATGACGAAGCAAGCGAAGGAGCTTAATCTCTCTCAGGATCCTTGTAGCATCCGAAACATGCTCGAAAACATCATTAATTTTCTTGATTGCAACCTTTTCTCCAGTGTGCGTGTCAATTGCAGAACCCACAACACCATAACTTCCTTTCCCAATGACTTCCTGAACTTGGTATCGACTTGCCTCTCCATACTCGGTGAAGAATTCTGTTTCTAGATTACCCTGCATAAAGATCAACAACCATTATTTGCAATCAAAATATACGGGATTATCTATAAACAGGCATAGAAAGAGTAAGGAAACAACAGAACATTTTCATCCCTTCAAATTCCATCCATCGCTAGTTTGATCCAAAAATTGCTTTTTAAAGAATTCAAACAGAACTGCAAAAACTAGCACATTCTCAGGTTAATAAAAGAATTATCTTCGCAATGGGCTTATCGCTAAGTTGATTAAGAACATTCACTCTTTCATCCCCGAGGTCCCGAATTCCCCCTCCCCAATATCGTTGTATCAAAAGTCCACCTCTTTCTATCTCCAACACCGTCAAGTTCAAATTTTTTGGAGGTATCCAATAAATTACCCCATTAACAGTTACAATTCAGTTTTGATTGATGCATTTACCTAACCAATCAAATCCTAACAAAACAATCCACATTCAACCAAGCAGGAATCAAAAGCAAGAAAACCCAAATCAGATCAATACCCAGATGAACAAATCCTAAAACAAAAGAAACCCAGATCGTAAAAAAAAAAAAAAAAAAGGAACCTTCTTCTGTGAATCCATGGGGTGAGCAGCTGTAAAGTCGGCCCTTGTGGGAACTCTGATGACCTTCAATCCCGAAATGTCAAAGTCGTCCTCAACCTCAAACTCCAACTGCTGTTGGTTCTCCCGGCCTCGTTTTTGTTCCCGCTGATGAGAATCGGACGGTTGGGCGCTTAAATCGGAGACGTGGCCATGGTTGTGATCATTGCCAAGTTTATTAATTTTGTTGTTGTTGTTGTTGTTGTTATAATTATGATTAGTATTATAAGAGCGACGTTGAAACCAGCGACGAACACCCTCCACCAGAGTAGCTCCACTCCCCATATACTCTGCCCGCTCTCTCTCTCTCTCCTCTCTCCTCTCTCAGCCACACAATTGCAGCATTGCCTGCTTTCTCTCTCCTCTCACGGCACTATTTCCTCGGAGATTTTCTTTCGGGCCCGATGGTCTCTGTGTAGAGAGAGTTTTGAATCAGATGGCGATGGATCGCAACGTCAATTGTCAGGTCTTTACCAAGCTTTGTATTTTCGGAGATGGGTATTTTTCTTTTATGTATATTCACACATTATATGAAGAAAAGTTTAACAAAACATTTCTGATACTGTTCATTTTTTACAAAAAAATCACATTTATACATTTCTTTTGTGTTATTCACTATACCTTTAAAAATGGATTTTCATTAAAATGAAAGGTTTTTTTTACTTTTCGTTAGTTTTCCTTTATATGAAATCAATTGGTAATTCAGAAAATTTTGAATTTTAACAAAAAAATTATTTTACTTACAATTAAATAAGAATTTGTTTGTTTGTCAGTGTTTTTAACATGAATGTAAATGCTTTTAGTAAAAATATTTTTGAGTTTCAATTCTAAAAGTATTTGAAATGTTTCCTGAAAAAAATCGAGATTCACTTACATTTTTTTTAAAGAATAATTTTAAAAATATTTTCATCAAAAGCATTTTCAACTATTTTAATAGTACTTTCAAACTAGCCTTAAAAATAACCTATGCTATAATATCAAATGACTCACGCCATTCCCTAATAGCTATATTTTAAAAATTGTCATGAATATGACTGAAAAATTGTTTTGTTTTAAGAGTGCATTTTTTCTTTTTTCACCACAAGAGACTTGGAGGGTGGCCAAAAGAAAAGAGGGACTGAATTTTAATGTTAGCTAAAGCTAAACATTTTCTTTTATTGTTTGTTCTAAAGGCTAAATTAGCTAACAACTATTCACAAAAGTATTTTAATTATGAGTTATAGCTAGCTTTGAAAGTGCTTAACATAAGCCTCGTTTAGAAATATTTTTAAAATGACGGAGGATGGTGACTGTATTTCTATTTCAAAAGCACTTAAAGTATTTCTACAATAAGCACCACCACTTAGCACTTCTAATGTTTTTTCAAAATTTACTTGCATTTTTACTAAAGATTTTCATAAATGTTTTCAATCATTTTAAAAGTACTTAAAAAAAGGAGTCTATAATTGGTAAAGGTTAGTTGATGTGTGTTAACATTGTGTAATATATTTGCTATTGCTAATCTATAAACTTTGAGCTAGACTCAATAGGACTAATTTATAAAAGACTAATGCTAGAGAAATCAAAATTTTAGATCATATTTGTAAGTTATATAACATGTTACTAATAAAAAATAAGTACGTTGATTAAAACTTAGGAAAACAACAACAAAAGAGTTTTAGAACATCTCTAGAGGTAATATGTGTATTCTACAAATCAAATTGATTGTACAATTTTCGGCTATGACTTGAATACAGTTATCTGATTAGTTTTCTATGCGTTAAGACCTTGCTCAAGACTGTGAAGTGCCTTCTCTCACATGGAAGAACTCCGATCGTAGGCAAAATTGTTCTGATTGCCATTACCTAATTACTTGTTTCTAACAACTACATGGTGAAATTGATCCAATCAATTTAGTCCATTGTTTCGTTCTGTACATATAATTGGTGCTAAGTGCAAAAGCAGAAACAGAGCTCGATTGCAAGACCTACCGTCGAGCAGGGACAAAAGTCGTAGTAGCCTCATTAGACCGTACATTTTTCTTAAAGTAGGTTTTATTTGTAGCAACTTCCGTCGCCGTCTTTTTCTAGTATTGGTTTGAGGGTATGCTTCTTGCTTATATAACATATATACATCTAATGCATATTGTTGACCCTAAAAACTACCAAGCCTACGTGGCGTGCAGGCCGAGCAATTAATAAGCTAACTACGTCATTCGATTGTGTGAAGGGCGTGCCAACTCGTCGGCCAAGTTCGGGCGGGAAGTCAAATGTGTTGATGTTGCGTTAAGTGTGCTGCTGACTTCTTGATCTTGCAACTGCGGCTAAGGAAGGAACATGTCTCGCCCTTCAGGTTCTAGAGCCCGAAGACAAGGCTGCTAGTCTTGCGAAGTTTACGGATCGTCGGCGCCTGGTTCGGTTACAGTGATTATATTCGTAAGAGTATAAGCATGTCGAACTAATACAAAACTATATGAACACAAGTACTCAAAAGAAATGTATGTCTTGATAGTGAATGTGGTTCGGTCGTCAGAATGCCAAACTCTAAAACTTACGTATGAATACCCAATCATAAAACAACTCGCCAATCAATGTGCCGAGCCCAGTAATCTGTAACACCTCACTTCGTCGAGAAGGCTAATGAAATGACCTCCGCCAATAAGGATTCGAAAATCCTTCTCAATCAAGACTTGGATAGGTAATCAGTCGGTCTTGACGCAATGCTATTTATCCAAATTGAAGGTGCTTCGCAGTCGGCTGATTCTATGGCAACAATGCTGCTTATCCAAACTGAAGATGTTCACCGGTTGCCTTCACAGTGCTGTTTATCTAAATTGAAGATGTGTTGGCGAAAAAAAAAAAAACAAAAATCTCAAGGTTGTTGAGAGGTTTTGCATAAAGCGAGGGTTTGCGCAGGACAGTTTGTGTGTTGAATTGAAGACTCTTCTTGTTGCCACTGCCTCTGTATTTATGGGGACACGCCGACTTGGTCCTTGAATATTGCACGAGATTTTTGGCGTGGATCAGACTCAACCAAATGCATGAAGTTATCATGCAATTATCCAACCAATTTAAAATCTCCATCATTATCTCCTTTTCTTCTTATTTTGTCCATCATTATCCAAGTATTTGATGATCTCCACGTGCTGGAACTAAGGCATGCAAATAATTAGCATGCAAGTTTATCTCTTAGCCATGCATTTCAAACCGAAGCATCACGGCAATCAACTCATCTTTCCACCAAATCTGACCAGGTGCAATCATGCAAGATCAAAAAGTTCAAACTTGATCCCATCTTTCCCATCCTTTCAAAGCCCACAAGTTCCAATCTGATGCAATTTGTCCAACTATATTCTTGGCATCCTGCCAAGGATATTCAGGGGTGCTCTTTATTCCACCATCACTTTATAATTTTATCCATGCATGCATTATAACCTTCAACCGTCTAAGTGAACTCCAAATTCATTTGTTTATTAATTATCACCATACTTTAAATGGATAATAATCAATTTGCAGCATACCACTTGAATCTGTTAGTCAACCAAACTGATCACACCCACACAATCACACGCCAAACATCCAAAATCAACTTGAATTGTGCTACCGTGTTTCCAGCTTGGAGATACATATCTCATCTTAATTATCATTAAAAGATAATTATGATAAAATTCATAATATTGTCCTTCAATAATAACAAAACGATCTTCACTCTTCGATCCGACTATGCTTACTCAATCACCTTGATTGCACGGGCTGATGATGTAATTTTGGATCTAAGCACATATATATGCTTATGCGTATATGTGTATCACATTACTCCAATTCCAAAAAAAATTGATACTTTATGACTGAAGTACTAGAAAGACATTGGATCAGGGTTTGATTGGGGGTTACTAAGATTATCAGTGCTCTTTTACCTTTCACTTTCTGGTCCTCCTGTGCGTTTTGACGTTTTAGGTGCGGCCGGTATCCTTTCCCTTGAACCGAAGGTATGGAGTTCCCAGGAAATCATTTCACAAGTCGTTAACCTGCAGTGATTCCGCAAGTACCATCCCAAATGGTTCTAATGCTATCAACTAACTCATCAAATATGAGTATCGGTAACAACGACCAGGACAGACCATTGTCGTCTTCAACTGTACCAGATAGTATAATTCATTGCCAGAGGGTGGTCGTGGTGTAAGAACTTTGAAATACCAAAATACTTGCATGTGATAAAGTGATGAGTGCGGGTATACCTACTGTCGAATTCAAATTTTAGGTTCTACTCAAAGACTCTGGATTTCCCATCTTCAAGGATGCAGAGGAGGGTGGCGAGCTGTTACAGTTATATATATATATATATATATATGAATACCAAAGGTTACTATGATATCCATAACTCATTCATTTTGGGTTCAGTTGAAGAAACCAACTTTTGTTTAACGTGTGGATATCCTTTTGAAAGAGTCTCTTTAGCTTAAAAGAACATGTAATGTTGTTGCACATGTAAATGTCATTTCGAAGACAAAACATAGTCCAAAAATATAATTTCTCTATAATTTTTTGCACAAAAAACAGTAAAAAAAATCTCTTTGACAACTTACTTCATTAATGCGTTTCACTTGGCTTGAGCTAATTAACATTTTAACTTAATTTCTTCAATTACGACGCACATGTAAATATCATTTCGAAGACAAAAGATAGTCCAAAAATATAATCTCTCTATAATTTTTTGCACAAAATAGTAAAAAGATCTCTTTGACAACTTACTTCATTAATACGTTTCATTTGACTTCAGCTAATTAACATTTTAACTTATTTTCTCCAATTATGGCCCAAATGGAATTAGGTTATTCAAACTTGTGTTAGTTTTTGGAAAAAAAGAAAAAACTTGTATTAACACATTGACTTCATAAAGTTTATGAAATTATGCTAGTCTTGTTTGTCAACTTTATAGAATTCAAATGTCTTTTACTTACTATAGGAAACACAAAAAGGCAAATGGGTCTCCTTTTAAAGAGAAAATCCTATAACTATAAGCAAAAGGTGGAAAAAGAAAGATTATGTGTAAACATGGAAATAACTTTATTACAAATAAGATGTCATTTTGATACATCAAGAAAAAAATGCAACATGTGATATAAGAACGTAAAAAAGCATGATGTATCAGTATATCAAGATTGAACACAAAATAACTTATAAAAAATTATATAAAAAAGTTAAAACACATAATATTATTTTGCGACTGATTTGAAATACGATGAAAATGACAACGGATTTGCCGGATGCAGATGCAAGGTAAGTTTGAAACGTAAACTTGCAAAACACATGGAAAGGTAAGAGCGCAGGATAAGATCACAAGAGTAGAGTCCTTGTACAGAAATAAGTTTGAAAGATAAGGACTCAACTGCAAAACCAATAACTTATCTATAGATATTTTATGATTAAAGAAGAAAATAAAAGAAATAAAGGAAAAAGACAGAAAAGTCCGCGTCATAAACCTAAGCAAAGAATACACAATCAATCCTCAGCCGTCCGATCAACCATCATCTTTCTCCCTTCCCCACGCTCCCGATCCAATCAGCCACTCATCATCTTCTTCCTACTCACTCTCTCTCTCTCTCTCTCTCTCACTCTCTCTCTGTCCAAAATTTCACTTATCCCCCCCTCTCTCTCTCCTTCCGAAGACCCAAGTCCCAAGTCCAACGTACCCCTAAATCTATGGACCCACCGCCCCCTCCATATTCAAGTCCGCATCTTTATCCACCGCCCGTCACCGCCCTTTCCGCCGTCCCAACCATCACCCCCGCCGCCGTCGAAGCTCACAATTATAACATTATCACCGCTACCCATGTGGCTGCCAACCCCACCCCTGCTCCGAACCCTACTCCCAATCACCCTCCTTACGCCGAGGTAAATTACTAACCACACCCCGTCCCCACCTCCCACTCTGGCTAAAGCTCCGAGCTTTTTTCTGATCTGGTTTTTTTGTTTTGGGTGCAGATGATATACGGAGCGATAACGGCGTTAAAGGAGAAGGACGGGTCGAGCAAGAGAGCGATAGCGAAGTACATAGAGCGAGTTTACTCGGGGCTTCCGGCGACTCACTCGGCCTTGTTGACTCACCACCTTAAGCGCTTGAAGAACAATGGTCACCTCCTTATGGTCAAAAAGTCGTACAAGCTTCCTGGATCTGAGGGTTCCGTTCCCCCTCCTCCTACTTCAGCTGCTGATGCTGCCGGCACGGCGGCGATTCCCTCTCCCGGGCCCGCAAGAGGCCGCGGCCGCCCTCCCAAAAACAAGCCCATTTCTGACCAGCCTAATTCCCAACAACCCATTTCCCAGCAATTCATTCCCTTTCCCCAGCAGCACCAGCAGCAGCAACCTATTCCAATTCTCCAGCTGCCCACTTCACAGCAACCCAATCCGATTCCCCAGCAGCCCAATTCCTACCACCAACAACCCATTCCCATTCCCCAGCAGCTCAATTCCCATCCCGTCCCAGCTGAGCCCAATTCCCAGCCCATGCTAGTTGCTCTCGGACTTGCCGACGAGCCAGGGTCGGAGAAGAGGCGCCCAGGTCGGCCGCGTAAGGTGGTTGTGGGTGCTGGAGTCGGACAAGCTGTGGGCAGCCCGGTGTCTGGCAAGCGGGGCCGGGGTCGTCCGCCTGGCACCAGGTTGCCAAAGAAGAAGGCTGGGCGTCCTCCCAAGCCAAAGTCCGTGTCTGCTGTTGGAGGCCCTAACGGACTTGCGAAGAGGGGCCGCGGGAGGCCCTCGAAAGCTGAGCCAAAGAGCGTGTACTTTCCGTACGCCACCAATGTGCCTATCATTGGTGCATTTGAGCAGAACAATGTGCCCAATGTGGTGGCGCCACAGCAACCGCAACTGGGGGCAAAGCGCAGAGGCCGGCCCTCCAAGAAGAAGGAAGAAGCTGCTTCTGCTGCGACTGTGCGTGTTGGTGGTTTGGTGCCCGGTAAGCGTGACCGGCCACCTGGGCTGCCTGGAATAGAGCGGCCCTTGAGAAAGAGTGGAAGACCCGTTGGCAGGCCCAGGAAGGTAATGCTCTTGTTATCTGCTTTCCCTAGTATACAACCTTGTGTATTGGTGCTTTGATTGTGGTAGATGACTATTAAATGTTAATGTTGGTCAGTGTGGTTGATACTGAAAACTTTTTTTTTGAGAAACTAACTAGATTCAGATTGCATTAGAACTAAGTAAATGTATTTTAACACCGAATGGATAGTCGTAGAACGATTTGGTATTGTAGGGTTAAGGTACTCTGGCTAGTGGATTTCTACTTTGTAATTTGGTAAGTAGAAAGATTGCAGAATTATTTAAGTTAAAAGATATTAAGGCAGTATTTTAGCTACTGAAATGCACATAGGAATTGGATTGAAAATAAAAAAAAATTAACATAATGAAATGCATAGAGAGTTAAAAGGATAAAATAGAAAGAATAAAAATTTGAAAATTAGTACTATAAGTCTATAAGGCACGCTCTCGTTCCCTTAGATTTTTTGTCATCGGCTAAACAATTGAAGGAGCGGTACAAGTTTCATTTCAGCGAACAATCGATGCTTATGTAAAATTTTAATCTGAGTTTGACTTTAATTGTTTTACCGAAATTTCCATTGGTCAATTCTGTATAATTTCCAGTCCAAAAATAAATATTTATTTTGTATTGAGTGTTGGGGAAAGCAAAATTATGCAACTTTTCTTCGTTTATTTTCTGTATGTAGTTATAGGGGTTATGTACTGGCTGGTGGATTTCTACAGAGAAAAGGCTGTAGAGTTATCTAAGTAGCTATGATAAGAGCAGTAATTGGTTATCGAAAAATGAACATAGGAATTGGTTTGAAACTAAAAATATTAACGAAATGCATAGGGATTAGCAAGGTTCTAAAAGGTGGTAGTCGGCGGCACAGGGGCCTAGGCGGTTTTTTTTTAATTTTGTTTAAATTTATTATGTAACATATAAGTACATGTCTACTTATATTTAAAAAAAATACGTAATTGTATTGGGATACATAAACTACAAAATAGAATGACATATAGATTATAAAGTATTAGAACATTTCGAAAACATGTGGAATAGGCCCCATATGATGAGTGTTCATCCAAGTACTCAACAAGCCTCTTACAATTTATTTAAAAAATAAAACGCGAAATGAAAGTTATTTATCTTTTGTCTAAGTGAGAGTTGTGAACTAGGCGGGTTAGGCGGGCGCCTAGGCAATTCTAGGCGCCCTTTCTTAATTTTCAAATGCCTAAGGATTAATAGGGGCAGTAGCCAACCGTTAGCGCCAAGACGGACCTAGTGGAGGTTTTTAGAATAGTGGGGATTACGGAGTTATGGGTAAAATAGAATTGAAAATTGGTAAGAAAGACTGTCCCTAGGCAATGAACAGTACCATATTCATTTCAACGAATAAAATATTACCAATGCTTATATAAGAGTTCAACCTTGAGTACTTTAAAGAAATTTTCATAAATCAAACCTGTATTTGTATTGTTTTGTTGTCCAAAAGTAAATATTTATTTGTTGTGATTTTGGGAAAAGGAAAGTTCCTTTTTCTTCGTTTATTTCCAATATGTGGTAATATTGTTTTCCTCCTGCTGCCCTACTTACTTGGAATTATTTCAATTTTGTGTTCTATTTTTGGAAAAAGAATGCATTGGCTGAAATAACTGAAGCGCCTGATCCAAAATCGGTTGCCAATGGAGAATTTAAGAGGAAACTTGAGTACTTTGTAAGTTGAATAATTTCCCCCATTTTTTCATCAAATATGGCTGCATTTTCCCTTTTTGGCTTTGAAATGGTCTTTATTCTATTTCTATGTTATTTGCAGCAATTCAAAGTGGGACAGGCTGTTGGTGCGCTAAAACCTTACTTAACCCCTGAAAGCGCAGGCACTGCCATTGCGGCAATCCAAGAATTAGAAGGGCTTGCAACCATGGACATTAACACCCCATTAGATATTGAAGCTCAGCAGCCACCTATGCTCCAAAGTTGAGAAAGCCTTGCTGATGTACCTGTTAGAGAAAATGAAGGGCACATAAGAGGTAAATTAAGGGTCTGTAAATCGAATAGGAGGTTAGCATAACTGTCTTTATTGGTAGAGATGATGACCTTGTCCATTAAGTTAAGTTTGTTGTTGTTGTGCAATTTTAGAATGACCCATGACTCGTTTTGTGTTCTTTCGACTTTGTGATTTCAATTCAATTTGAGAAGTATTTGGTCATATCTTTGATTTACTCGTTTACATGAATCCAAGTTATGGCAGTGTGGACTGTCTGCATGGTTCACAGTTATATCTAAGAGTAACACGATGCAGTTTATTCATATACAAGTAGAATTGCAGCACACACTAATCTTGCATGTGGTGAGATATATGTTGACTTGGATGTGTCTAAGTGTGGCACGGGCAAGAGAGAGAGAGAGAGAGAGAGAGAGAGAGAGATCTAGTATTTGGTGAGCTATAAGTTGACTTATATGAGTGAGAGAGACATCTTGTTTTCGGTGAGCTATAAGTTGACTTAAGTATGAGAGAGAGACGCATCTTATATGCAGTGAGCTATAAGTTGACTTAGTATGAGAGAGAGAGGGGGGGGGGGGGGTAGGTTTGCACCAAAAGGAAGGCTGTCAAAAAAGAGAGACAAAAGATGGAGCTGTTCCCCTGGAGACTACTGGTCTGCCCTTGGTTTTCTTTCGGCAAGGACGCAGAAGTTTCATTGTTTTTGGAAATTTTTGATGTAAACGTAATTGCGGTGAGTGATGATGCGAACTGGTTTGGTGTTACTTTTGGAGAGATGGGGAAATTTGAGTTTAGATGGTAGTGAGAGGTGAGTTGGAGAAGTTCTATGCTGGTTGCAAGGAACGTGATGAGGGAGATAGATGCAAAGGTGAGAATATATCCCCGGTGATTTGCCTAGCTAGGGTTAGAATGCAACGCCTGGCAGTTTGGAAATACACTCGCCATCGCCACCGTCACCGCCACTGCCACTGCCATGGTCATCGTCATCGTGGGACCTGTTGCAGGCGTGGTACTGCAAACTTTAATATAGGCGTAAGCATGGCATGGATTTGGCTTGATCATTGATTTCACTAGACTAGAGCTTGACCTGGACTTTGAGATGCTTTGGTTTGTGTATATAATCGTAAAAATAATTATGTAGACCAACTTATTATTTAATTGTTCTTGTACCTCAACTGCTTAAATGGCTACGAGTGTTTTGTACTCGAGGTTCTATTTTTGGACACCCCATCCCTCAAGAAACTTATAAGAATTATATTTATCCTCTTTATCTTTGTCTAAAGATCATTTAGAAAAATTAATTTGATTTGGAGATCGTTTAGTTATTTATGTAAATCATAGAAATTGACGCATCATTATAAAGATGTTAATTGTTACTATAATCATTAATTTGTTGAATATGTATGTATAACTATCTAATTCACTTAAACTTTTCTTGAAATGACTTACAAGAAATGATAGAGAGAACAATTTTGATTGTGACGTTTATTTGGCAATATGGATAGTAGTTCAACTATTTATAAGCACATGAAAGCACTTCATTTTTTCGATGTTAGATTGATGATCTCTTAACAAGGCCCTTACATGTGACAAATTTTCAAGTTTTACGTCTAGCTCGTGGACAACACAAATTAGGTGTTGTGGAGCAGATGTGGTAAATTTTCAAGCTTAGCATGTGGACAACAAAAATTGAGTGATGTGGAGCACGTCTGGGAGTTGGGCTTGACACAAGGGTAATATTCTTTGATATCATAAGGAAACTTAAGAATTCCACGTAAAATCAATTGACAATATAAAAAAAGAATAGTCAACTACTTATAAATACATGTAAAATCTATTTTTTCCATTGCGGATTGATATTTTCTCAACACGTTTGTACGGTGAATTAATGTCAACGGAAACGAGGATCAGAATAAACGAAGTAATATCCCCTAATAAAATTAATGCTCGATAAAATATTCTAAGATTTAGAGAATTCTACACGTAAAGGACCGGCGAAAGAGACCCACCGGTCCTCCACCACCCCCTCCTCCGCCTCCACCTTCCACCGATATGAGCAAATGCTATGCTACGCGCTGCCCACGGTCCAATCCCAGTCATGAAAAATTGGGAACTCCACTTCTGGCCCCATAACAATTGGACAACGCATCACACGCAAAACCAAATTTTCACGCGCCTTCCGAAGTCCACAGTGATTTTTTTATTTGGGTATGATATTCACAGACTTCTTTTTATTTCATACACACCTTCTTAATTTGCGACCATCAGATTGACTAAATTAAAAAATAAAAATAAAAGAATTTAAATTAACAAGGAGTGTGTGAGAAGATCTACACACCCTTTTTTATTTTATTTTTGGCTTTTTATCTAAAATGGTCACTGAAATGACTAAAATAGATGGTAGGCAAACTCAGAGACCTCTATTATCGATTTCAAATCTTAAGAATCAAACATGACAGGTTATGTGTTTCTATGTTAACATCCAACTAACACGACTAGAACACGATGACAATATTCAGCTATAGCATTATATGAATGATAATTTTTTTCATTTGTATGACTAATTATAGGTATTAGTGTATTATCGATATTGATTTTTTTTATGACTAAGTTGACACCAACGCGGTACAAATTAAATACATAAATCGAAAAAAATGAACAAATCTGTTTTTAAGAAATGAAGCATGTTTTGGATTTTTTTTTTTTTCATTTCATGATGGTTGGAGAAGATGGCTTAATTGTTTTTTCACCATATTCTTATTAAATAAGAAAACACAGAGTGAGGAAGCAGACTGCAGAAGATGGCTTGATTTTTTCACATTATTCTTTTTTGACATTATTCTAATGAAGAAAGGAAAGACACAAGGTGGGGAATAAGACGTCAGAGAAAATTGAGAAGAAAAAGGGGAAAGAGGAGGAGATCAGAGGAAAAAATAAATCATTATGTTAATCTCACGGTGTATATTAGTTTGTTGGAAAAATAATTATGAGAGTTTTAAATATGAAAAAAAAGGATAAAAGATTATATTTAAGGTTTATCATACGGCAAAATTTTGAATAGATTATAAGAAACTTTAACGAAAAACTTTCATTTTTACAAAAAACTATATTTTTATACTAAAAAGTCAATCATGGTATTATTCACTTTACCCTTTATTTTGTCCTTATTGTTAAAACACAATGTTTTCAAACCCTTTTCATTAGTTTTTCTTAAATTATAGTGACACTTAGCAAAATTTAACGACAAACAAAGTCCAACACAAGTTTTCCTCTCATAAACCAGTCTTGATTTTCCCTCCATTTGCCCACGAGTTTGGGATCTTGACGATTCCCCTTTTATGCATAGATCATTCCAAAAAAAAAGTAATTTCATTATATACACGTATGATATTATTTATTAATTTCCGTTAAAAAGAAATGAAAAATTTTTAAATTCAGTACGCAATGAGTAAAAAAAAAAAATGCAAAAGATTCTCGTTCAAAAAGAAATGCTCGATACCCAAACCATCAGAGTAATTCATTACTTTAAAAAAAAAAATAGCTATCTATATTCTATATTCTTCTCTGTCGGCATGTTAAACTACAATTAACCGTCTAAATATTGTCCTAGATAGAACCTTTGGTTAATCATATATTATGATGTGCATGTGATGTTAGGTGGCGTTTTCATTGTTGAATTTTCAACACCATTTAAATTATCCTGACAATTGAATTGTTTTGACATGCAAATCTAAAGAATTTGAGAGGAAATCATCTCACCATTCTATGCCAAACGTTTAAAACAAAACAAAATGTATTTATAGGGTTTATATTTCTGTCTTCATTTGCTCATCGGTGTCACCACTCTGGAACTTTCAGGCAATAGGCTACGACGAAAACGAGCTTTTTATTTTACTAAGCCATCATATTCATTATTCACCTAAAAACGCTATTTTTATCACATATTTGTATCTCATTTGTACTATTTTTTTTTTTTTAAAGATGAGACCCACATGTACTGGTGGACCTTAACCAAGATGAAGTCATCCCTGGAGCCTAGAAGCGAAGCTATCTCTCTTGAGACTGGCCCACAAGAATCCATCTTAGGATTAGAACCTGCACTACAAAGCCTAACCATGGAGGTCACTGAAGCTGTTGAATCGACCTTTGAGAAGGAAGAAGAGCCACTAGTAGAAGAACATGAAAGATTGAGACTTACTTATTCGTGGATAGCTCTTTAAAGAAAAGGTTCCTACCTCTATTAAAGATATGATACAAATAGATGATAAATGTACTCTTATTTACGTCATTTTTTATGTGGTTTAGTTTATAAATCATTTGATAAGTATCGTTTTCAGTTTTTATTTTTATTACAGCTAAAAATTATTTACGAATAGAATTGTTATTATCTAAAGATCAATTACAAACCCAACTTATAATAGAAAAAATATTTCCATCTTATAGAATATAGACCACGATTAATTTTTGTGATAACTGCAGAACTTTTATATTTGCTACCAATGCTTTACATATATAATTATAAGATATTAATAAAAATGTTGCAGTCCGTTGATATCAAATGAGAATATGATGATGACAAGACAACATTTGGCTTGACCGGTTGATGATTGATCAACCGTTTTGACTTTGGAGGGGTTTTCAAACCAAATATCATAGCTCCAACGTTTTGCTTAAGTTTTCAGAACCTTAGTCAGGGTCTCTGCAATTTTAGCTCCAGTTCACGGCCGGCTGGGCTAAAACTTAACTGTATAAGCAGAACAACAAATGTCGTCTGGGCATTAGGCGCTGCGCAGCTGGTGCCGAGTCAAGTTGCAGCATTTCGTCTAATTTGGTATATTCCCGTGCATGCAAGACATTGGAGTTAATCCATTTTTTAACATAACAAAAACTTTTTGGTGTATTCTCATGCATGCATGCAAGACTTGGGAATAAACCTATTTTTGAACAAAAAGGGATCAAACCAACATTCTCACTTCCAAATATTTCCAAATTTAAAGGAAAAAAATTGGTTCTAACCTGTCACGAAAAATAACTTAAATAAAATATAAAAGTAAAATTAATAAGAAGAAATTAATTGCTGAAACTTTGCGTTCGTACGTGCATGCATGGACCATATGGTCCAATACATCTCCTGCAAACTTTATATGATATGATTTGACATTTGCACGCAATAAAACCACGAAAAGTCAAGTTTAACTTGTGATAGA